GGTAGATCTTTGAGTCTCGTCTCATATAAAGAAGTGTCCCCCACATCTCGTCAACAAATGTAACCATATTTTCATAGGATTTATAGATTCTGTAAATTAGTGAGTCAGAAAAAGCAGTTCACTAAGTCAGTAACAGCAGTTCTGCTCAGGATAAGTGCAAGTTTGGAGTGTTTGGGTGGTTTTCTTGATCCAAAAATAACACTTAAAATGTTTGTTTGGGCCCTTACTCAACTCTCGGAAGGGATTGTTTGGCCACACAGTTTGGGTGTGTGTGTGAATTTGAATTTGACCGCCTTCAGGAAGGATTTTGTACCTTCCGTTTTCCACTCTACTCTGTTTTATACCTATCTGTCTGCTCTGTGCTTGGATCCTGAAGGATTTGCATGTGTAACCCTTGATCTATTGGACTAGACATACTGGGCTTCATACTTTTAAGGTAAATTGAACATTATTTCTCACATGTGAGATAATAAAAATTTGGTGTTGAAGATCTTGAGGTGATATGCTCTGGCTCACACCTGTAAATTCACACATAGGGACTATCTGCCAGGTGGGGCTTAGGATGGCATGTTAGTATGAGAGCTAAAAATGGATATACATCCTTCCATATAGTAAGCAACTGAAGCCCATGTTTTCCTTAGAAAACAGTTCCTCAAGTCACTTTAACATATAGACAAATAAAGAGTCAGGTCCCAAAATTCAGTGATAACCTACACCATAGATATGCTTATCTATAGAAACTCTTAATGTGTAAATGTTTTAATGCAGCTGTTTCTAGCATCTCTCCATGACCATAAAATATTTTCTTTTTAAATTAGAGTATCTGTTCTAGTTTAAGCATTGTAAGTTTCTTGTAGCCCTGTAAGATACATTAGCTATAAAATGTATCTCTATGTAACTGAATGATTTTGACTTGCCTTATGGAGTTATTGCATTAAAGTTAATTAAATGTTTTGGCACAACCACCAGAGTGATTGTTTTTATTTTAGTCGTTTTTAGAAAATAGAGAGCAGATTGAAGCCATTCCTGTTAGTATATGATAACATGAGCTTAGAGACTGCTTCAATTCGTATCCTTACTAGAAGTGATTCTAACACTTTCTGGTTCTAGCTAAAAATAACTGAATCCAAATCTTTTTTCATTTTATAGGAATGAAGTGGTAATTTTTATCCTATGCTTTCATTGTTAGTACCATAGACTGTGTGCTTTTGTGTATTTTAAAGAACATGGTCTACTGCTAAAGGCTTAAAAGTATTTTTATTATTATTGTTATTATTTTAATTCTAATAGGAGAGAGAGCTTGAAGCAAACAAAAAAGAAAAAATGAAAGAAGCTCAACTGGAAGCTGAAGTGAAGTTGCTGAGAAAAGAGAACGAAGCCCTTCGTAGACATATAGCTGTTCTCCAGGCTGAAGTTTATGGGGCAAGACTGGCCACCAAGTACCTGGATAAGGAACTGGCAGGAAGGTGTGTAAGAAACAGGTGCCCTTGTACTCTGAGGTGACACATTGGATACTTAATGAGGTTGACTCTTAATGTCTTGTGGTAACTGAAACATTAATCTTTACCCTAAGAGTTGTTTTACATTTGGTTATCACTTACTGTTGTTAACGTAATATTGATAGCATATATTGCAGATTTGTTTAGCTATACTAAAATAAGTATTTCTGATTTACACACACACACACGCACACACGCAGATAGTAGTAACTTACTGTGAAATGCGAACAGTTCTACAGCTGTGCTTTTCAGCCATTTCCTGCTTTGTCACCAAAACTGATGACTTCACATGTACAGCACGATTTCCATAAAGAATTGTTTCTATGATCACTGAAACCTGGTTTTTCTTGCCCCTTAAAAATATGTTGGAATGACAGTGATTTTTATCATAATAATATAGAGTTCTATGTGCATTAATTTTTCACAGTGAACTATTTACAAATTTCGGTGATTTAATATTAGTACTAAATAATTTTATACTCATTATCTTAATGTCACATTAGAACTGATGTGGAACAAATAAAAATAATTGGTATCGTCTTGAAGTGCACATTTTCAAAAAACTTTTAGCACATTTAAAATCATTTTGTAGAAAGAAATAGTCATTAGAAATGATTTTGAACAGTTACAGTTAGCCTCTTCTAAAGACTAATATTCAATAGTATCTTGAGTTCGGTGACCTACCTCAATTGTATGCAAAACCTGAAACATGTTAATTGACATTAGTCTCATAAATTGTTTCTTAAATGTATTTCAATTAAGCACATGACTAAAGTAGGTCTTGTTTTTTTAACTGGTTTTCCCTTCAAGACATCTGTTCTTTTCAGAAATTTCATATCTTTGTAAATCTGAGAGACATTGGGAGGTCCCTGAGTTTTATTACTTAGATTTATGCAAAAGCTACTTATATTCAGTAATTCTTCTGAATTCTTTCTATAGTGCACATAATGAAAAACTAACCAAATTAACTCTTTTCATAATATGAAGGGTCCAACAAATACAGTTACTAGGACGAGATATGAAGGGACCCGCTCATGATAAGCTTTGGAACCAACTGGAAGCTGAAATACATTTGCATCGTCACAAAACTGTCATCAGAGCCTGTAGGGGACGCAATGACCTGAAACGACCTATGCAGGCGCCACCAGGCCACGTATGTTTGCTTTGCTACTTACTGTTTCCCATTCTACCTCTCCTGTCTTTCTTTAATCAGAAGTCCTTTTCATTTTTTAAAATTCTATTAGTATTTAAAAACTTTAACTTAAAAAGTGAAAGTGAGACTAAACTTATTTAAAACAGATACATATTTAAAGTTTCAACAACCCATAGCTCTTTAAAGATTTGTTAATGCCTTGAAAGTGATATTTCTGAAGACAGTGAACTATTGCTAGTAAATATGTATTGCTAGTAATTTGGCTCATATTTCAAAATTTTCCTGGATCATGATTAGGCATGTCTACATTTGTTTTAAGCTTAGCAGACAGTGTGTGGTCATATTGATAAATTGGCAAATATTTTTGGGTAGTTCTTTAAGGGAATTTTTGGTAACTAGATTCAAGTGTAGTTTCCGAGCTAACATTTACACCTCTTTGTTCTTGAATTAAGATGAAATTTGAGATCTGTGTCCAATTACCTGCTTCTTTAGCCACTGTGTACAGGAGTTTCCCTTTTTATCTGGATAAATCTTTATTAAATTTCATCACCACAGCTGTCCGATAATACAAACCTTAATATAATAAAAGCATGTCAAACTCCTACCCAGTGGCTCAGATATCTTATTACCAGATAAAGCATGGCCTTAAATAGTAAAATTATTTGTTGCGTCTAACAATGCAAAGGTTATGGTAAGAAGAATTTATATGTACGTGAAGTTGGTGGAAGAGAAATGGGGGTGGCAATAAGTGCTCATAACATTGTGTTCCCTCGGATACTGGTGGTCCTTGTTAGCTGCTAAGGACAGATCAGGTGACAAAAGTTATTTCCTGCTAAATAAAGGAGTTTGAACTTTAATCTGATAATCATGGGGTTTTTAAATAATATAGTGGATTTAATATTTAATATCTTGTAACATTTACTTTGGTATAGTGAAGAGGATGTATTGGAAGAAGGTCTAACTGGAGGTGAGGAGACATCAGAAAGATACTCTAATAAGCCAAGGGGAAAGTAATGAGAGCAGGGGAAGTGCTTTTGAGAGGAAGGACAGGTTTGACAGAATTAGAATCAAGAGGACTTGGTGATTTACTGCTTTTGGTTAAGTAGGTGAGTGAGAAGGAAGACACTAGGTTTTTTGGTTTGGGCAACCAAGTGAGTTGATGGCATTCATTTAAAAAACATATAGAGGAAAAGGAAGGTTTTGGGGAAAGGATGATGATATCAATTTTAGAGGTGTGGTGTCTGAGGTGCCAGTGGATAGCCAAGATATATCCAGTTGGGTATATGACTGGCGTTCAGGAGAGAAGTCTGAATTGAAGAAATATTATGCAAATCATCTGTTTATAGTAATTGAAACTATGGAATTGATTAAGTCTTCCAGGGAAAGTATATAGAAGGTAAAAAAATGGGAGGGCAAAGATGGAAAGAAACTTCTGTGGAGTGAGGGAAGGAAATGGGTCAGCAAAGGAAGGAGCCTGAGATGGAACTGTCAGATACAGGCCATCTAGGAAAGAAGTGTAATAGAAACCAAGGGAAAGAGGGCTTCAAGGAGCGGGTAGTGAACAGTACCAGCTTTCTGAAGGCTGAAGTGGAATAGTGACTAAAACGTGTTCATTGGATGCAGCTGTATTGGTTACCAGTTACTGCATAGAAGACGATTTCAGTGGAGTAGGTGAGGGCTAAACCCTATGATAGTGGTTGGAGTAACGAATTTGGGAGGCAAGGAAGTAGGTACGGTGAGGATTAACTTTGTGTGAAGGTTAAGGAAAGATGGAGGAGGATAGTAGCTAAAGAAGGTAATGACTGAAGGGTTTTCATTTCGTTTTGTGTTGTATATGGTCACTATTTTAAAGCTGAAAGAGGCTTGGAGTTTGTGTAAAAGCTGAATAAGGAAGGAGCTTAGTAGAGAGGGAAAGAGGAAAGGTACCAAACAAAGAATTATTAATGGAGCAAAGTCCTTTATTTAAAAGGTACACTCCAGAGGTAAAAGGAATGAAAATGTAATGAGTGTTCCATTTGGTAATTTGTTTCTCAGTTCTACAAATCAGTTAAAATGATATTGATCTATAAGATATTTTCCAGTGAAGATAAACAATTACCCACTTTCATTTTTTTGAGGATATTTGTTCATTAATTAATTCCTGATAATAATTTCTTTTGTAATGTCCTACAGTTTAAAAAGAGATATATCAGTATTAAAGAATTTGAGAAAATGGTGAGGAAATCACCTATACATTTCACTATATTAACTGAACAACTATTTTCACTTTTCCATTTTATCTGTTAATTACTTTCTCTTTTATTTTCCACTATGTTGGTATTATCATTGCGCTCTTCCCGGGTGAGGCAGATCGGTTGCAGCCTCTGGACTGCCGCTTATGGCGGCTCTTGGTAGCTCACACTGGCTGCCGGCCACACATGGCAGCTTATGGCAGCCCACTGCAGCAGGGGCTGCAGCCTACGCTGTCGCCGGCAACTCACGGCAGCCCAGCTCCAGGTTGAGCTGTTGTTCACCATCTTAGCTGTAGAGGGCAGTGTCACTGGCCCTCAATGTGGGATCCAAACCAGGGACCTGCTGCTCAGAGCTGGTGTCCCAAGACAACTCTTAACCAACGCGCCACTCGGCCGGCCCTGTTAATTACTTTCTTAACACTATACTGTGTATCCATTGCAGGAAATTAATAAATAATTCTTTATTTAATAAAGGAAAGTTATATAGCATAGGCTTACTCTATTTGGTATATTATTTAAATATTACTAATTTTTCTTCTTTCTTTCCTCCAATAAGGATCAAGATTCTTTAAAGAAAAGCCAAGGTGTTGGTCCAATTAGAAAAGTTCTTCTCCTTAAGGAAGATCATGAGGGCCTCGGCATTTCAATTACAGTAAGAAGTAGTGCTTCCAGTATTTTTTTCTAATGTTATCTATTGGGTTGTTGGAAAAGTCATGACGCATTTTTGCAATGAAAAACAGAAAAAATATGTCATGACTTTTTGAACAGCCCAATAGTATATCATGCTGCTTCATTGGACATCATTGAGAAACAAAGTATTCTGGATATATTTTCGAAATAACTAAATTTATCCCCATTTTGTGTAAGCTTTTTGTAAATTTTTTGTTTGTTTGTAAATCTTCCTAATAACTGTTAAGTATACCTTTAGTAAGTATAGTTTAACATTTTGATTATTACTCTGGTCATAATTCTGTGCCATATTCTCTGATGCCTTTGTAGCCTTTGGGAATGGATATGACCATTTTCTTCTATGTTAAATGGTTTTTTTTCTCTAAAATATGTGTTATTTTTCTCTTGTCTCATTTCTTTGTTGTCAGATTTGACTGGCTCTTGGGTCCAAATATTCTTCCTTTTTAAATTTGATGCCTTTACAAAATTTTGTTTTGGGCAACATTTCCTGAGAACAGTCTATTATAAAATACTTGTATTTGGAATCATTTTGCTGTTCGGTGCTTTGTCCCAGGTGAATGAATAAAGTGGTTTTACTCTAATTTTCATTTGGTAACACTTAGGCACTGCATAAGTTCATTTGCTTTCTAGTATTACTTAATGTAGGAATGTTTCTTATAATAAAAAGTTTATCCAATGGATATTTTTTAATTACCTACCTTTTTTAATGCACTGCCCTCAAAAAGCACACATTTTAGCAGGAGAAATAAGACACACACACACACACACACATACACACAACTAATTATGATGCAAGCTAGAAAGTGATAGGCACTAAATACTGCATTTCATCAACTCTGCATTGCATATTTTTTAACTTTTTAACATCTCTGAAATTGAGATTCATCTTACAACCTTACAGTTATTTTTGTGGTACATAAAAGAATGATATGTCTTACTATTTATAGCGATTTGGATTTGATAAAATCTATTAGTAGTGCTGTAGACTACTAGTACATAAAATCTTTTTATTTATGTTTAAAAGAGTTTAGGCAATTGTAGTTTTGGGGGAAGGGGTTCTAGAATGCTTTTTAGAAAACCACATGTATGTTAATATTTTGACTAAGACGTAAGTAACCCTTTGGTACTCATAATTTATTTATCATTACCTAAGCAGCAAATAAGATTTCACTCAGCATTTATAGAGACAGTATAGGTGCTTATGAAATACAGTTTTAAGAAAATATCTTATTGTTAGAATAGTCTACGATTATACAAAGAGTAAACTAATTTACTGCCTTGTTTTGTTTTGCTTTTTTGTTAGGGTGGGAAAGAACATGGTGTTCCCATCCTTATTTCTGAGATCCACCCAGGGCAACCTGCTGATAGATGTGGAGGGCTACATGTTGGAGATGCTATTTTGGCTGTTAATGGCGTTAACCTAAGGGACACAAAGCATAAAGAAGCTGTAACCATTCTTTCCCAGCAGGTAAATTCCCTGTACGAAATTAAAATTGGATGTATCAATTGGTTCTTTTTGAATCTGTTGAATATTTTATACTTCCCTAGGAGGTTTCTCAACTAGTAAAGTGTTTATATGTAGATACTGATTTCTCTTGGGGCTTTTATAGAAGAAATTCAGCCTGATTTACTGAAAAGGGAGGTTTTATTTGCTGTTTTTCACAGCTGTATAACTTTGAGAAGGTTACCTAAGTCTTTTGTGCTGCAGTGTCCTCCTCTAAGCTTTGTAATGGTTAAGTATGTTAATACACGTGAAGTGCTCAGAACAGGACCTGATACTTAGAGAGCAAAACATCATTAATGACTGAAACACTATACAAATATAAGGTATTACAGAAAAGACAATGCTATAAGTGGATTGATTTTACAGTCATAAATGTCAGAACTGACTGAAAGGGTCCTTAGAAGTCATTTAGCCCAACTCTCTTATTTAAAATGACAAGTAAACTAAGACTCTTAGAGAAGTAAATGATTTTCTCAACGTTGCAGAGCAAATAAATTAGAGAGTTGGGATTCCTATCCAGAAGTCATTTTATTATTCTGTGTAGTTAAGATTTATTTTGTTTACTCCTTAAAGAATAGGGTTGAGGGAATAGGCATTGGTAGTAGTACACTGAGATTTTTGTTGGGTCACCAGCGTGGTGTGCCAACAATATGGAACTGAATCTTAGAACTGAAAGTGAATTTATAAGTCATATGGTTCAACTATATATGATGTATAAACCTGTACAATATCACTAAATAAAGAATTGCATTCAAGGAGGACTTGTTGATGATAAAGCTGTCCAGTCCATTGTGGTACATTGCTGATTTTTAGAAAGCTTTTCCTTATATTAAGCCTCGAATCTGTGTCTCTGTGACAGCTACCCACAGACGTAATTCTGTCATCTAGAACTTTACTGAAGACCACTGCATTATCTACCTGTCTCCCCCAAATGCTATTTTTAAAGCATTATCTAATAAAGGTGATCTAAGAATGCAACCCTGGCCTCTTTAATTTAGTGTTTTCTCAACCCAACTTGGCCGTCACCCAGTAGCATGAGAGTGTGATGAATGGCAGCTGTAGTAAAGGAGATACAAATAGGCAGTCACAGAATTTTAAGGAAAAGCTAAGCACATATTAAAATTCTGAAGCATAACCTTAAATTGCCAGGAAAAGAGGAGCACCAAAGAGACTAACTTAATGAGTAGCAGTACGAAAGGCATGCTTTCATCTGAGCAAAGGCAGCCATCATTTTCAGGGAGTTGCAAATACCAGACTTGTGTGTAATGACTGTAGTCTTGTTAAATGACAATTATAGCTTGGAATTTTTTTAACATAAAATAATATGTAACATTTTTACTTGAACATAAAGTTGTTAAAGAATAATTGTACAAGTATTACACATTTAGTCTAGTTTAGTAGAGCAAGAACTTGAGAGTTAAAATTCTGTTATTCTGTTTTACTTGTTCATCATATTGGGAGAGTTATCTGCTTTCTCCAGGACTCACTCAGGTTTCTCATTCATGTGAAAGAGACTACAATAGGGTTATTCTGAGGATTGAAGGGTTTCATTTTACACAATAAATATAGTGATTACTGTTATTACTGAGCAGAATACATTAACACTACGCCTGGTACTCAGTGAAAGTTAAGAAAAGGTTTAAGACCTGGTCAGTAAGAAACAAGAAATCGTTGTGTAGAGCTTTCTTAAATTAGTCAAGAAAAAGTTTGTGTGATGCCCTTAGGTGCAACTTTATTTAATATATGACTACTTAGATGGATTTGCTGAATTGTTATGTAAAGTACAAAGTGGCAAAATGACTTTAAACTGCACATTTATTCCCAAATTCTATAAAGTGAAGAGTAAATTTTCTATTTTAGGTCTTAGCTATGATCAGTAGAAAGAGCTACAGTAATATTAACGGGAAATTACTCGTAGAGAGGATTCATGGGGTTGGTCTGGACATGATGGTCTAAGTCCTCTTCCACCTCTTGAGATTTTAGAATTTCATTAGTTGTTTCTTGAAAGGAGCTACCTACACCTGAGGTCTGACTACGGCTCCTCATCTCTATCCTCTACTCCAAAGAATTTAAAAATCCTTTTTTAATTAGTTACAGTAACCTGACTTCCTCATTTTCTGTCCTCATTTTAGAGAGGGGAGATTGAATTTGAGGTGGTGTATGTGGCTCCTGAAGTGGATTCTGATGATGAAAATGTGGAGTATGAAGATGAGAGCGGACATCGTTACCGCTTGTACCTTGATGAGTTAGAAGCAGGCAGTAATCCTGGTGCTAGTTGCAAAGACACAAGCGGGGAAATCAAAGTGCTACAAGGTAAAAACCACTAAAAGTCACTATGAATGTATTTATTAATAAAATTTAGGCTACGAAAGCCTTGGTTGTTCTTCAGTAACACTTAGTAGTGGGGAATCATCATTAACAGAGTGAATTGAATAGCTTTCCCTTACTTATATAGTTCTATTGTACACCGGTAACGGGGCCAGAATTTTATTTACATGGAAGTTCTTCTAGATGATTCACCTTGGACTTTATGACAAGTACATTACCAGTTACTGAACTACCAATGATCCTTGAAAAATAAATAAAATTCCGGTTTTCTAGACTCTGAACAAAGGCCAACATGCCTTTTAGAATAAAGATATCTTAAATGTGCAGATTCTTTTTTCATAATACAATGAGTTACAGGCTAAATGTGAATAAGTGATTAGACTGTTGTCTATGATTATTATAAGAATCAGGACATGTGATGTTGAGATTTTTGGTTTAGTTCCTTTGCTATCATTTACTCAGATTTTAAAGAAAAATTCTAGCACTATTTTTACATAGAGCAGTGGTTAAATTATGATCTGTGGAACTCTGGGGGTCCTTGAGACCTTTCGGGGTGTTCATGATATCAAAACTTTTCATAGTAATACTAAGATATTTGTCTTTTTTTTTTTTTTTTTTTTTTTTTAGCTGAGCCATCCTGCTACCTATTGGTAGCTTAGCGGCTGCTCAGCTCGGGCTGGCATCGAACCACTGTTGCTCAGAGCTCAAACTCTTGAGCGAGCTCTTAACCAACTGAGCCACTCGGCCGGCCCCAAGATATTTGTCTTTTTTTTCTGTGTTGATATTTGCAGTGATGGTACAAAAGCAACGGGGATAAAACTACTGGTACCTTAGTATGAATCAAGGCAGTTGCACCACTGTACTAGCGATCATTGTTTTCTTCCTTGACAACCACTCAGAGTAAAAAGAAAAAGAAGAAAATGCTAGTCTCACTTAAGAATATCTTGGATGAAATAGTGAAAAGTGTTCATTTTATTAAATCTTTGCCCTTGAGTACATTTTTTTTAATATTCTGTGTGATGAGATGGGAAGTGTGCATAAAGCACTTAGTCTGTATGTTGAACTAAGATGCTGGTCTCAAGGAAAAGTACTTAAGTGATTAAGTTGCTAGCTGAATTAGCCATTTTTTTCATGGAAGACAATTTTTACTTGAAAGAATGACAAATTATGGTGTTAAAACAATTCGGCAATCATTTTCTTTAAAATGAACAAAGCGAGTCCATCACTTCAAGAAAAACAACTGACAGTATTGCCAATGATAAAATGTGAGCTTTCAAGTGAAAATTAGAATTTTGTATAACATGCATCAACCACCATGAGCTTGACAGCTTCCCCACACTTAAAGAACTTTTCTAGTAAGATTAATGATGATATTACTGAATGTGATTTTTCGACTATAGTAAAATGAAATGTGTCAACTTTTGGAATTGCTGCTTAACTCAGTGATCCAATATTTTTCAAATGACCAGTGCATGATGTTACAAAATCCTGCATGTGTAAAATAGCCATTCAAAGTACAAGATAAACAAATGGATTTTAATGTAACAGTGCAAGAAATTAATTAAAATTATTTCAGATTCTATATTGTCAATTTTTGGTATCATATCAAAGAAGAATATTGACAGTTATCTGACAAGGGTACTCTGCCCTCTTCCAACTACATATCTGTGTGAGGGTGAATTTTCTTCACATACTTGTAACAAATTGAGCAGAAGCAAATAGGAGAACCTAGCTGTCTTCTGTATAGCCAGGCATTAAGGATATTTGTAATATTGTAAAACAGTGCTGTTCTTCTGATTACATTTTTTTTGGAAATAGTTATTTTCATTAAGCCAATGTTATTTATGTTAACATTTTTTGGGTTTTTGTCATTTTTAACAAAGTTTTTTTAAAGATTTCTCAGTTTTCATTACTAATATGGTAAACGTCAGTAACACACATAACATTAATAATCCACATGAACAAAGCTCTTTGGAGTCCTCAGTACTTATTAAGAGTACAAAAGGCATTCGGACACCAAAAAGCTTGAGAGCTTCTGGCATAGTTTTATAGTGAACTGGTAAACTGTTGCCCTTCTGGTAAACTTGTATGTTATGAGTGATCGTCACAACAAAACAGCAGTAGCCGTTATTGTTCTCATGCATCTTGAACAAAACTATTATTGCAGTATGTCAAAGCCTTACGTTATTGGGCTGCTGTCCCTATGATTTCATTGTCTTTCAGCCTTTCTGCTGTTTTCTGTCAGGATTATAAGGCTTGTCCTGGCCTTTTGAGCTCCCCGCTCCAAACTCTTTGGAGTGTACTTTCGTTTCTAATAATGGCCCTTGAGCCATTCTCTATTGCTCTGCCTGCTTCTGCTTCTTTAAAATGTATTTTTTCTTCTATTAAACTGTCCTGTTCTGCAACTTAAAAAAAAAAAAGAAGGCTTGTCCCTTCTTTTTTTGCAGTTGAGGCTAAAAGACTTCTTCTCACCTATGTAAATTGCAGACCACTTAATATGTGACTCAACCAAAAATGTATACACTTAGGATATATTACTGTTAACTGAGTCAAATCACACAAGTGTATCTATTGGTTTTCTGTTTAGCACATGTCTATACTTCATAGCTCACTAAATAGATGACATAGTCAACTCTCTTTTATTTAAAAGTGTATTATCTATTTTGTAGATAAACCAGAATTAGTTTTAAATTATATCTGGACATTGTCTGCCAACAAACTAGATTTTTAGCAATAAACTATGTATGTACCTTAGTGAACTGAAGTTAAATAATATTAAAGCAAAATGTAAAAGGAAAATTTAGTCCAATAAATATTTGTATAAGTAAAATTGACTGAATTTTACAATTGTGTTTATCAATTCTAAGTTTCATGGACAATGTAGTAGGAAATTTTATACAATTTTTAGATATATTCAAAAGATAATACTTTTAAAATCTGTGTAATGTTTGATATCCACTATAAAAATTTCTTTCTCAAAAATTGCTAACTTGACTAATCTAGGGCCCCATTGTTTCCCTTATGTCACCGTTAATTACAGTGAGCATTCCTTTGTTTTTGCTCAATAAAATCGCCAGACCCACTTTTTTTTAAAGACTAGAAAATAACTTTTTTGTTTTGTTTTTTTTTCTCTTTTTTAGGATTTAATAAGAAGGCAGTAACTGATGGACATGAAAATGGAGACCTAGAAACTTCGAGTGAAACTCCGCTAGAGGACAGTGCTTCTAAATTAGATGATCTGCACAGTCGTCTGTATCATAAAAAATCTTATTAAATTGACTGTATCCCCAGACAGGATTATTAGTCAGACTGTTCTGAATTGGGGGCACTAGGGAAGACAGTGACAAAGACTGTAAGACCAAGGGAGGCTGTTTGTTGCCTAAATGAAAGGCAGGTACCTCAGGGCTTGGTGTGAGCAAATCTAAATGCATAACTTCGTTTTCTGTGGTATACCATAATCAGCTATTGCATGTAAAGCAGTTTTGATTTTCTTAAAACTTGTAAAGCACCAAAGCATGTATTTCCCGAAGGGATATTACTAGGCTCTTAAGTACCAAATGAAACACTACTGTTTTATTTGGTTCCTTTTCCAATTAGTAGAAGGAGTGCTAACCGGTATTTTATAAAAAACAGCCTTTAAGTACAAGAGAATAAATGAATTCATATTATATATTCCACAATGTTAAGTGTGGTGTTTCAAAGTACAGAACTTGACTCAATGAATTGCAGAAATGTAGGTTTGACTTAATTTTTTTAAAACTGAAAGAATGGTTTTAGGTTTTTTTTTAAAAATGTATTTTGCATCCTGATATCTAAATCAGTTCTTAATGATCATTTATTGTAATGAGTTTGCCTTTCAGCTTTATTCAGTGCAGTACAAAATAATTTTCTTATCAATCAGTGCTGCACTAGAAATAGTTTCTGAAAAGTTATTGTACATGGCACGTTTCAGGTTTTTAAAAGAAATGCAGATGAGTGGAAAGTATCTGTCCTCAATTATGTTGATCTATGTGCATGGTGTGAGCATTAATTACATTATTAATGTTTAGTCTCAAATGCTTTTTTTCTGGGATCCATAAGAGATGGTTTTATACATTTTGAGTTGTTCATCAAGTTTGTCTTGATGTGATAGTCCTGGCACTTAAAGATACATTTTTCTGGCAGTAAAAGCTCAAATTTATTACTATGTCAACAAAATACATTGCATTCAAACAGCAGTTTTCTCTCAAAGTAACTGATTTGCCAGTCATCTAAAAGGCTGAGGCACTGGTAGAAAAGATAAGATGGAGACATTTTGATACAGTAATTGTTCTGGTTGGCTTTTCATGTCTGTGTATGTTTGACTAAAGTGCTTTTTCAGATGCAACCTACAGATTTGGTAGTTCTCTTATCCCAGGACTAAGCATGGAGTATCTGCTCTTTTACTTACTGTTCAGCAGGCCACTGCACCGTGCTGGGGAAAGTGAAAATATTGCATTTAAAGAGGTGATATTTTTGCCAGTATCACTGTTTTAAGGGATATATATGTAAGGGAATATTAAGTGGGGGAAAGCCTACAAGGCTTTTAGAGTATTATCAGTTCTTCATTTCTAATATTCAAATACTGTGTGATATAATATACATTTTCTTGTCTTTCCTAGATGTACTATATATTTGTTCATAGGTAAATCTGTAAAATGTATATACTTTATTTGGTGGTTTTGCTATTTATAAATTTTATGTTTTAACTTGCTCCTTTATGGTTTGTTTTGGGTGGTTTTATTCATCTGTATATCGCCATGTTAATTTGTAATAGAAATGCACTTCATAGTATATATCATTACTGATATTAAAATACCTTGTAGGATAACTTGCCTCTAAGCAGAAGTTAGTATTTAATTGCACAATTGAATAAGCAAGCTACATGTTATTGTTTGCTCCTGACATGCTAGGCTAGGCCTCTTAAAAGAAAACAGTGTTTTTTCCTTATACATTCCCCCTACTCCAAACACATACCCCCTGTGCATGACAGGAGATCTGCAAACTGGATTTTAACCAGTGTATTCATTTAGTCAAAAAAAATTACATTATAGCATATCTGAAAACTTTTTTGTTGTGACTTGAAACCATGTTATTTTTATCTTTTTAAAACAGAGTTTTAAATGGGATGACTAAGGCATTTTTTTTTCAGAGAATATCCTTTATCTGCTATGATTGAAATCTTAGGAAATATTAGCTAAAACCTTTTGATTTTCAAAACCTATCTAATAAGTCTATAAAGAATTTTTTTAGACCCTTGAATTGGCGAATCTGTGAGGATGCTGTGTAATATAAAGGATTGTGTGAAATGGTTAAACATAACTCCTTTCAAGGGCTGATAAGCAGAATGAAAATTTTACTGGTAGTTTAAAATTTCAAACTGCACAGGTCAGTTCCCTTTTCCTTCATGCTTCACCTTGGTTTGCAATCCTGCGTGAGAGCACTGTTGCCCAGATGCTGTGAGCTTCCTGTTAGGTGTTTAGAAAGTACCCAGTTAAAAGTCCATTTTGGACTATATGATCTTTGGGGGATGAACTAAGAATTACAGACTTTTTCCAAAGGACTGAATGAGAAGCATTTTTTATATTTTCACATTTATAGGAAAGAAACTTACAACACTCAAGCTTCTAGGACAAAACCCAACAGATAAGGAGGGAATTGTTGCAAAGTCATTACAGTTAAAAAGGGAAAAAGGTACACAAATGCATACACAAACAGAATAGCTGAGAAGAAATTTTCAGTTGAGTGTGAGGGTTGTGTGTATGTGTGTATACATTTACATTTTAACCTCTAAATTCTCTTCTATAGTATCTGTTGTGAATATGATGGAAAAACATTTGTGTTATGAGACTTGTTAAAAGAGATTTCAGAGAGATGAAAAATTTCTGAGTCTTGGTAATTATAACTGAACAGTTGTCAAAAGATAGCACAGCTTGTCTTGGTGCTGGTTTTATCCCCCCTACAGTGGGTTTATTTTGTTTTCATGTTGAGAAACAAAATATATTCATTCATGTGTAAATTGCACATTATTTGGCATCCTTATTATGTAATCTATGCCCTTATTCAGTCTTCTACTTAGGGTCGGCCTCAAATCTATAGGATTTGTGACAAATGTATTATATTTAGTTGAGTTTAATATTTTTTTATTAGCCTGTAAATAAAGATGACATCTTATACATTAAAAATGGTATTGATCTTTTTTTAAAAAATTACATGTTTCTTTCACATTAAATATTTTGGTTTATTCTTTATTTCTAGTAGCTTCTATTGTTTGTACCAATGACTCATAAAGTCCATGCAAAGGCTGAACCTAGTTATTGTGGTAGAATTTTTTTTTGTTTGTAGGAATTAACTGATCTTAAGAACTGTTTAATCTGAGTTAGTTAAAAACATGTTGGTTGGAAGGAACTGCCAGAGCAACTGGGACCTACTTAGCAGATGGCAAAAACTCTAGTCTCCTTGGGTTCGTTTTGTGTTACAAATATTGATAGCCAATGTTATCTATGAGGATAACATCAATAAAAATTTTAAAAAATCAATTCTATTGGATACTATGTAAGAGGATAGTATTCCATTATATTATCTAAGCATATATAATTTAGAAGCTTCCAAATTATATGTAAAATAATTTTTAAAAACATCTGTTTACATTGCTCAGTTTCTTTGCCTCAGATGTTTTACATATGGTCATTTATAGTCCACATAAGAACAAGGTGTAAAATGTGTTAAGAATGCCTTTTCTTTGCTAAGAGTATTTGCGGTCAATCAGGAAGATAAACTTACAAATGGTATTTTAATATGTCATATTTCAGAAAATTACTTGAGCTGTGAACATTTAGAAACTTTTTATCATTGACTGACCTTGACTTAGTCCTAATACAGTATGCTGTCTGTGTGTCAGTTTAAGCTCCCAGTTCACCAAGCAACTTGGCAAAGCCTTCCCAAGAATTCATCCACATAGGACATTGTTCAGGTTAGGTAATGTAAAAGATTATTCATGTTTTCATTGTTAATCAGTGTTCATTTTAGGTGGTTTTATAAATAACTTTTTTTAAACTAAAAGGTATTGCAAATTACCATGTGTTGATGGTGCTAAATACTTGCTTGATAATAAATATTTTTCAGGTGTATCTTGAGAGCTATAGTGACTGCTGTAGCAGCCACCAGAATGCGTCTCTCAGACCTCCAACAGGAGGGAGTGTAACGGGCCCATAACTGTTGCGCTCTGGTATAGTCCCCTCGTTACCACAGAGGCTCTGCTTTTCACACGCGGCTGCCAGCTGAGGACTGATCTGGAGAGGGACTTGATGACTCCTTGACCTTGGCTTGAGAACTCCCTGACCGTCTTGTCAGACTTCCTTAGGTTACATTGTTGTCTAAGTTGCTTCAACCCAACCTTCCTCCCTATCTTTCCTCATCATGTTGCCCCTATTAAATCAATTACACCTCTGATCCTTTCTTGGTCTTGTTGTCTGCTTCTTGGAGGACCCAGACTAACACAGGTGGACTAGGAGTGAGATGTGAGGAAACGGGTTAATAGATTAGGAGCTGCCTCATCTCCCACCCAAAGAGTGAATTGGTTGACATCCTGGTCGGTAAGTATGGTACATGAGTCCTTTGCACAAGGTCATGGTTCAGTTACTAAATATTTCACAGATGGTGTGCAGGAAAGGTTAACACAGCAGGCCTGAACCTGTTATCCTCACAGGGACCAGCTTGCAAGTTTTGCCTTTGGTTAATGCCCAGCAATTTGGATATCGGGAGTCTCCCGTATTTCTTAACTGATAAGGGTGTTTTACTGTGCCTGAAAGGTTGGTGCAAACAGTAGGGTTTATGTTGAACATCTGCTTTCCTTCTGGGAATTGTACACGCTAGGCAGAGCAAGCCTACGTGACTAAGCCTCATAAAAACCCTGGCCTCCTATGCCCAGGCTTGGGCAAGCTTCCCTGGTGGACAGTCTACGCGTTCCACATCATTGCTGAAGGGATTAAGCTCATCCTGTGTGACTCCGTTGGGACAAGCACAGAGTTTGTGCCTGGTTTCCTCTGGTTTCTTTTCCCTTGGCTGACTTGCTTGATGTTCTTTCTCTAATAAATTAAAGTTGTAAGTACAGTTCTGTGCTTAGTGCTGTCGGTCCTTCTACCAAATCATTCAACCTGGGAGTTGTCTTGGAGATGCCACACATGGGGTAACTTGGACAAATGTCCCCATAGAGAGGAATTCTCTAGAAGTTCAATGATGCAAGCATTTGATAAATATGGGGAGAACAATGTCCACAAGAAGCAGAGTTGGCTGGTTACTGGTAGGTTATATCGATAACCTACAAAAGGATAAGACCGAGGGCTGTTATCAAGCTGTTGGTGCCGAAATACGAGAACCAGGCGACCTCTGGGAAGCTTACAAGAGGTCTGGGTCGAAATAGCTGAGCTTTAAGATGAACATCTAATTGCTACAGTCACAGAGCTCCAGAGCTTTGAATGTTCAGCCAAGTTCTATTTTGTGAAAGTCAAGGCCCTGGTGGAGAAAACCTAGAACCTTGAAACATATCATGGGGACATCTGGATGGATGCCTCTGAGGATGCTGACTGAGTCCCTACTGCATCTTCTGGTCTTGCAGAAGTAGCCCACCCTTCCCTGCTAAGTCACCTCTGCTGTGCTAGCAGAGGCTACTACCCAACCCCCACTCCCCCTCAAACAATAACTGCTCCCATCTACTCCTTGGCTGCCAGGCCTATAAGAAGGGTTACATCCCAGCAGAGCCTGGCTGTGGATGTGCTGGGCCTGGTAAGGGAGAAGGCTAGACACCTGAAACCTAAGAATTAACTAGCGTATGCTGGCAGGAGCAAAGGGGGTGCTACTGAGGTTGGATTTTGATAGAGCTTGATCAAGGACTGAATTCTCCAGTTTAAAGAAAACATTCAAATTGGGGAAAGCAATCCAGCAACAAATTTATAAGGAACACACCTAAAACATAAGGACACAGAGTTTGAAAGTGAAAGATAAAGTATATACACTGGGTATATATTCTCCAACAGGTAGCACAGATAAGTCATATTCACATCAGAAAATAGACTTTAAGAAAAAAAAAATACCAGGGATAGAGAAAGCTTAAATTCTTAAAGAATTAACTCTACAGAGTTAATTCTAATCTGATACATGCCAATTAAAAAATAGGCTCAAAATACATAAAGCAAAAATTAATAGCACACAAGAAAATTATGAAAATCCACCACAATAGTGGGAGATTGCAGCAAAACTATCAGAAATCAGGAAAAAATTTGAACAGCAAAAGTAACAAGATTGTTTTAAAGTTCAAGTTAAGTGTATATTTGGTAAAAGACCTCTGGCCTATATATATAGGAAGATAGATGCACTATAAGAAGGGAAATTAGATATACAAAATGTAAAAACACTAAAACTTGGATTCTATGACTTTGGAAAGGTAAAATATACAATTTGGTAAAATGCTTGCAGGGGGCAGCAGATTCCAAATGTGATAATCTGCCTATTAGAGCTGAAAGCTTTATGAAGAGTATCAAAAAAATCTTATTATGAGGATAAATGAACTGAGGACTAGACATTATATTACTTGTCCAGGGTCACACAGCTAGTGTTGGAGCCAGGACTCAAATCCCTCTGTTGATTCTACGTCAATAGGTCACTTTAAAAGAAGGGAAGGGGAAATAGGGATGAAATTGTCAGATTTAAGGTTTTTCTCCCCAATAATTATATTTCTTTTTCTTAAATGGTACAAGGTTTGATGGAGCCTAGGATTGATTCAGTTTTGATTTTTAAAAATGATGGTTAAGCTGTAGTGAAGCTTCACTAGAAATAGTTTTTCTGTAGTCAAGTGAGAATGCAAGAACTGCAGTTACATAGCAGATTCTTAGGTCCTGGACACTATAGCATCCCTGCTCCACACCTGCACACACAGATGACCTCTTCACGTGTACATACAATTCCTATTCTTTAGGAAGCAAGACTGCAACAGAGACACTTCTGACGACTAAGCTTTATGCTATAGGCAATCAAATAATTTCCTTTCTATGCTTCTGCACTTTTTCTGTCTTTCCCCTGGCTCCTTTTGTGCAAAGTGTTTGAATCCATTCCAATTTGACTCCATCTATAAATGTGCAAATAAACTCTTAAGATTTTTAATGTGCTTCTGTTTTTCTAAACCCACTTCTTAAACCCTAAAGTGGAAATTAAAAGGGCTGTTGTAAAAACTAATTCATCAGTGTTTTGAACACAGTTAGTGATCAATAAATACTAACGCTCTTTCTTTCTGCCCAATCTGTCTTCCAACACCAATTCCCTCAGTGTCCTTTTCAAGTGGAGGTTGCATTTTCTCTTCAAACACTGCATTTGCTGTAGCCAGTAGGGAAATGCACACTTCCCTAATACTCACATCCTGATACCCATTCATTCTCACTCTTTTACTCCCATGCAAAACTCATTATGAAGCTCATGCCACGTAGTTCTACCATCGTTTCTTTTTGCTGTGATACCTAATACCTTCTAAGCCACTTTTCCCACTCGTGAGGCTTGCACCTAGCTTCAGGTCTTCTCCATTCTTCCCTGGTAATCATGTTGGAGAATTCAGTGTCCAACATGTTCACTTTTATGTTTTTTTTACCTCTAGTAACCTCCACTCCATTTACACCATCCCACACATGTCCACACTCTTA